TTGAAAAAAAGATTAACTTTATTTTTAACTTTAGACTTTCTGAAAGCGTAAGTCTCTTCTTCAAAATGCTCTTTTAAATATGAAGTTATGATATTTTTTCATCGAGTTATCACGAGTTGAAAATATGCTGATCAAAATCGATTAATAAACTCGGAATAGCGCTATTTTGAACAGAAGCATTTACCAAAGAAAAAACTCGATGAAATTAGCATGATTTTTAAGATTTAAACTGTTCACTTGAAAATGAGTTTGCAATAATTTTTTGCAAAGTTACGTATTTATCTCTTTTTCTGACACTGATTCAATGTAGCTGTTTTTGAATAGCGTATTTTTATACGAGTTGCGGGATTATCTGCAGGTAAAATGTTTATCACTGCGACAATTCTTTTACCAGTTGGTTATCATAAACGTATATTTCATGTAATTATTTTCAACGCTGCATGAAAACCACTCTGAGGTGAGCTCGTTTATACGTTATAATTCATCCTTTATTACAAAGCGTAATATCGCGCAATAAATCATAATATTAAGTAAAGTATTTTCGCTTGAATATTAATTGTAATGTCTGAAACGGTGCTGCATTGTCAGAGGGTGATTTCAGAGAGCATCAAAATGCGGCGGTCGACCCGCTTTCGTACGAGTGTCACGACGTTCGAGAGTAATCGCGTCAGTTCGATAAAATACGATTAATGCGTGCGACAAAGGCGAGCCGAATCTTCCGATGGAAATCACGTCGCGAGTATCCGGCATATCGCGCGCTCGCACGTGGTTACGCGTGCCCGCGAGCGTCGGAGCGCGCACGTGCGCGGCCGCGCGTGGAATTCTTTATCCTCGCCTCGTACGGACGTTCATGACTTCTATGGGATGTCGCGTTGGCTTGCTATTTTGTCGGATATTAATGGAAGCCGGGTTGATAAATGAGCCGGTCGTGGGGGACACGCGGAAAGTCAGGGAAGACACTCTTCGGACTCCCTCTTCGTTCCGCGCCTCCGGGCTTTAAAGAGAAAAGCCAGACTATCGCGTGTACGGGATGACCAACGGCGTCTAACGATAGATGGATGATATTTTCAACGCGCGTCTAAAGTTGAATATGCCGTATGAATGCGCCATAGAAGTTACTTGAAATTACACGTGAGCATTACACCCAGAAAAAAAGTTTCTTTAAAATCAAACAAATTTGCTTTCAATTCTGACCTTACTCGACTTTTATTTAACTTCAAAGAAACGATTTCTTTACCTTAACCAAAATTTGATTTAATTAGGACAGAAATCTCTAGGAGAGTTCATATCTATTTCTTCAAATCTAGCAAATGTTTTAGTAGAAGTAAATCAAAATTTAGTGGATTCAAAGAAACATGATTTCAACGTATCTCATTTACATATTTATCTTTAGTAAATCTTCTGGGTAGTAGCGTAGTTTATATTTAAAAGCTTTTGTTTTATTTACTGCCGTTACAAATTGCAATACATATTTGTGGAACGTGCTGTCTCACGTATTCGCGTATGCCTTATCTATTTGCCATGGAAGCTCGAGTACAATGAGAGACACGTGCGTGCAAATTGACGTTTTCCATTTTTTGGAAATTTCTCGGGCATGGTTGGACTTTTGAAAGCGCGTTCCCTCAATATCAGGCAATGGCAATGCGACGTTCACTTAAAAAAAGGTCACAGGTTTACGCGTTTGACATTGCGATTACGTAACGAAGTTTTCGCATACGCGGTAGCGACGTGCTCTTAATGCCGGGCACGTTGCGAGCTGTGCGCGCAAAAAGGATTAAGCTCGACTGCTGCAAGGCTTTATTAGCCTCGCGCATGTGAAACGCTCACCTGGAAGTGCAATAGACGCATATACGACGGGTCAGGGTTTGCAATACCGACCACGTGTGCTCATTGGTCTCAACCGCAATTACAACCTGCCAATCAGCCGGACAAATGTATTCGCCGGCCTAACCGCGTTTAGGAGACCATGCTGCGATCATGAGTATTGCTGTACCTTATAGCCTGCCACACGCGCTTAACTAAGGACATACAGTTCTCTCTCTCTCCCTCCCCCCCTCTCTCTCCCTCTCTCTCTCTCTCTCTCTATCTCCCGAATTGCTTACGATTAAGGTATTTACGAGGAAAATATTGATATTTGCGGTAGCCGTGATGAAATTTTATCTTAATATCTGTCTACATAGTTAATGCCTGTTTGCAACCGTCGCGCAATCCCTTATATAATTTGAAATTGAGTAAAATTATCGTATCGGTTTAATTCCGATTTAGATAGACGCCGAATATTCGATTACAGGCGTCTTCGAGTGAATTATGAGAAACTGAATGAATCGTTAATAATGCGGCCGGCAAATAGAATCGGCGACTTTAATTATCGGAAATTACTCCTCCATTGCTAACGTTATAGCATTAATGCAGTCCGCAGCATATCGTAATTGCAACACGCTTACAAAAGCTCAATGTAAACTGCCTCGAATTCATGGGTGAAGCACAGCCGTGTTAGTTCGCAATTTACGCAAAATTAGTACGTCCAACTTTTATAAATTTTTCAATAGTTGCAGCATGTAATTCAATTATGTAAACATCGCAGCGTCCATAAATTTACATGAATTTCGATTGCATTGGTCATCTTTTATAGTCTCGTTAAATCACACAGTTACGAGCATCGTTTTCGACAGCGTGTTGTTGAAAAAAATGGATGAAATAATTCAATATTTCCGTTATTATCCACTCTCGTTGTTACCCGGCTGTCGTATTAATCAAAGGATACGTGTGCATTCGATTGCTCATGGTAATGTCGAATCGCTCGCTATTTCTAACGGATTATTGGCATTAATTATTAGTTCATGACATTTCAAACAATTACTGGAGAAACTATTAATCACGACGTTGATTTTCAATGAATGGATTAAAACGAACCGCTTAAACAATAAAACGTGAGTTTTCTTTAATCCCGTCGACAATCAGAGGGAATTAATTTGATGAATGAAGACCGTACTCGTTTCCCTCGGATATTTGTCAGGGAACGTCTAATAAGCGCGATCGTGGAATGCGACAAAAGGTGCAAATAATGAGCACTGATACGATATCATTGTCGCCCAAACAACAGATACGCCCGTCGTATCGGGGGATCTAGAAATTGTTAGACATACAGTATTCCGTGGATATTAATTGGAGTTGGAATTAATTTCTCCCCTATTACGAACCGTCGGAAAACTTGATTAGTATTCCCCAGGAACGGCGCCGACACGCTGACGGCGGGTTTCTGCGAATAGTTGGGAATCGAAGTAGATATAGGGTCGCATTCGCCCATGCTATCTACCAAGTCGTTCATCGGCCCACGGAAATTCCTTCTCACCCTCCATTTGTTACGAGTCGAGTAAATGACACGAATAATTTCGCAAAACTGCTTCTATACATTCAGACAAGCAAGGAATTATATCTGAAATGGCGCGTGTTTAACGGCTGAGCTTATTTATTGCCTAAATTAAACGCGACAAGGCAGAATCTCAATGATTTTCGGTTTTCGAGCTTCGTCGTCGTTTTGCGAGGGTACTTAATAGAGTACTTAATAGAGTTGAAATTTGCTGATCGAGACATATTTTATAATTGTAGCTACGTTTACACTGTGAAGAGACAATTACGCAGAAGTGTATATAAGGTTTAAAATAGATTAAACTTGTATGTGTATACACATTAATATTACATTAATATTTTTATTAAAAATAAAAGTACAAAATAAAGTGAACGTACACAGATACAAATCAGATTATGCAAATTTCGCACACTCGAGACGTGAGGATATTCTCTTCTTAACTCCATCGACGAGTTCACGAGATTCTTGAGTAACGGTGAGCAGTGAACCGGTCGAGTTCGCGTCGGTCGAACGTAGAAAGCTCTTTCCTCTTGATCGAGAATCGCGACGTGAATCTACCGCCAATAATTCCAAACCATGCGTTTTTCCTTTTCTGACGAGAGCATCAATCGCAACGAAATAAATCGCGAAAAGTTGTGGCTGCCTTGGCTACGTGGGGCACGAACGGTCCGCGCTGGTCCGAGTTGAAGTTTTCCGCGGCTATCAGTCCGAAAGAATTTTCGCAGTCGCGTCGTGTCTTGCGCCCCAGGGACTGCCTCCTTCGAATCAAACTTCGACACCCGAGACGCCATTAGTACCCAACGAGTCTGCAAGTTTTCTCGCTCTGTCGACGTGGTCGAGGTAAAGGAACGAAGAAGGGTTGCCGTGTGGTCTTTTCTCCCATTCTTTCCGAGGCTTTTCGGGAGTTAAAGAGGCGATCCCGTGCTACGCGTCCTCCCATTCCTTGCTGCCGGATTTTCGAAGACCGCGCTACATATATATTCGAGCAGTATTTTACGTGTTAACACAGAACCGACAATTCTTTCCAACGATTCAGGATAATTGGATTTCTTTGGAAAACAATCGATAGTGAGTCCAATTTGAAAGAATTAACGCAATCTCGTTAGGAACTTGGAGTTCGGAAACATTTTATTTTGAATTGCATCATATACTTGAATAGGCGCGACATTCGCTGTGCAAAAATGTAGCGAGCTACTTTTTCAACCAAAATATAGTTCTAAGATGCAATATGTTACTTGCCAATACAAGCATCTTTCAACCTACCAACGGCCAATCGACAGACCACTCTCGAGCGTTTGCTCTTCCCGTTTCTCGACGCGAACATCGCTGCGGTATCCACCAGCGTGCTATCAATCAGTTGGCGGACATCCTCATATCAGCTCCGAATTTGTGGGCCAGCATTCAAGGATCATCGGGCGTCTGTGATCCCTTAGAGTGCGCGCCGTCCTCTCGTCAAACCCTGTCAGCGTCTGCACACGCACGCCTCAGTCTCTTCCACTCGAGCATCACGAATGGGTGTAACTGCGGAGTCGATCGTCCTGAATAGGCTTCCTCTCCAATCGAATCTATACCTCGACTGGCGACCGCCGTTGTTGACGCCAATGAAGGAAAGGAAGGAAGGATGGAAGAGAAGTAGCTCGCGAGCCGGCTGATGAAATTGAACACGGAAGGCACCGAAGACGTTTCCCTCGGAACGACTGGCGCCGAGCGAGCCGAGGAGAATGTACGAGGGTGACGTAGGCGAAGTGTCATCCGAGGAACAGATCGAAATACACAGTGAGAGAGAGAGAGGTAGAGAAAAGGTGAGGCGACGCAGAGACGGAGTAGATGTAAATGGTACGCTTCATTAACGTGAGTTACCGTCGCATCCATTATTCGTGGTAACCAGACTGACAAGCGCGATTCCGCCCTGTCCAGGGTATTACCGTGCGGAAAGAGAGGACGGGAACCTTGAGCGCGTGCGTTACTTATCGGGGAGGAAGAGGACCGACGGCGGCCAAATTGGAGTGAATTCCGTCGCCGTTATACCGAAACCGCCACCGCCGTACGCTGCGGGTGTCATTCCGGAAAAACGTTCCGCTTCCACGCGCGACACCAGAATAATGGCTGTTTGGACCGGAATTCGAGAGGGTACCGCGTGGCAAAGCGAGAGGGATCGTGCGATCGGGCGCGAGCGACTGTTTCGCATACCCCGTTGGATTTCACGTTTCGGCGATTAACATTTTCATTAGTCTTATTACCCGACGAGAGTGCGCCGTATGGCGATTAAGGTATCGTCGCAGCTTCCGCGTATCCGCTGCTGAACGATCGAGAGAGGCGGATGCGACGATACGCGAGCGTAATGATCGATCGGCCGCAATGAAGTCGGGAGTGATGGTTCAGTGAAAATTTTTCCGCGGGATGATAAAAAATATAATGGAAGAGCTCGCGTGAACAATTGAATCGGCTTACATAATCATTACGAAAAACCGTTTACATCCGGTTTTCTACTGCGTTATTATTCCGTGTATATTTCCCTCGTTTGCGATTCTTTTATCTATTACGACATTGCTCAATATTCCGCTGTATCCCGCGGGGAGAATGGGGCTCACAGAAATAACGATGCATAAAATATTTCGTTCATTCTATTATCTTCGCATTTATTATCTATACGTTCCGCAACGCTTGGCTCGCTTGCGATTTGTATCAATGCCGAAAATGTAACCATAGCACGGCACGGATATTAACCAGCCCGGTTGAATTTACAGCTCCAGCTCGGCAATACAACGTTACGCGGCTATATTTAATAAAGACTCGCGCGCATGAGCGCCGTTGTATTCCAAACTCCAAAGTTCCTATGATTAAGATTTTCATTAATCTTGTTATTCATCGGCGTGACACGTATCGTGCCTAGCGTGCATTAGCTTGATACAATGCCTGTGACATCAAACAGACGCGATCTTTCATACCGTGCATAGCTCTTGCGAGCCGTAACGTCATATTACTTCGTCATAACGTCAACTTAGGCCAGGCATGCCGGCGTAATATCTATTTAAAATAAAAAGTACCAATTAAGCGAATACCAACGTGAAAAGTGATACACCGTAAACGACGGCCGAGGCTTCGTAAGCGCGCGATCTTATTTACCGCTGTCGAGAGACATCCTAATCTCGATGTTTGAAATATCTCCCGTTATTTCGTGGCACCCGAATGACAAAGTTCTGCATGTGCGCGCATGCGAATTTGTCGATACCTCAAGTCTTACAGAAATATTAGATGGGACATTGTTATTCCGGCGCCACGATTTGTCACCACCGTGTCGCTACCGTACCTTCGATAAGAATAAGCGATATACTGCAGCTCGTAAATAAGTGAGCCGCGGCTGACGTGCGAGAACTCGTGGGAAAGAGCCGCATGAAGACATAAATCGAGGAGTTATTACCTGATTTCCCGTACGACGAAATTCCTTACGGACGACGGATTGCTATTAGAACATTGATCACCGTAAGATTTTTCTCCGATCCTATCGCACTTTAGAGTGTTATACAGGTCCGGGGACTTTTTGCTGCCCGAAAATATCTACCGAGATAAGGGGCTGGGGACGAAGTTCGGGATCGTAAATCAGAAAACGGGGTGGTCAGTCGTGGCGCGGAGCTTCATTTCGTGTATGAACGTGATTTATGCGGTCACCATATACATACACATGTACATGCATATAGATATGTGTATATGTATATAGGCTTCATCACGATTTCGAGTCGCCTTAGAAGTGGTTTCAACCTGCCCATTACGTAATATCTATCTCGCGGATCAGACTCCCGAGATTACCAACAACCCTTCGCTACGCAAGAATAAAAATTCCTATCGCGGAAAAATTAAAGAAAAAAAAAAGAAATCGATGTCGCGACAATCGCGCGACGTGATTGAACTTTTTGTTACTGAGCTGCAAAGTAGCTCTGGTATCGATTTATTCTGCTCTCTTTAGATTGAAAAATTTAGAACGGCAACTACGTGGGATAACTTCGGAGTTAAATTTCCACGAGCGTTTGCGCGAAATGTGGAAAGTGTCACGAACGCAACAATCACGCCGAAATGTCGACTCTCCGGCAAACTGGATTCAAGCATTGAAGTGAATTTTTGTATTTTTTATTTTTTTTTTCACGGCGAACCCATTAAACAACCACGGACAGCCATTTCTGGATGGACTCGAATCGACAGCGCCGGGAGGGTAGGGCACGAAATGAAATTCTGATGCAATCGGGAGTGTGGAAAATCATAATGGAATTACATTACGGAACTATTAAACCGAAAGAGCGCCGTCACTATCGGACGAAACGAAAAATGGACGTTCTCCATCAAATATTCCATATTTTAATCTCGACCGATTTACTTATTTCCATTAGCGCGGTGGGTGGTCGGGTCGCAGTCACATTTTCTCGCAGTCTCTTACGCCCGAAGATCTATATTTAATTATTGAACAATCTGATTACGATCGCATGTTTCGCGACATGCCGGTCCCTCGGCGTTAATATTTTGTTATACGTGCGCCTTCTATGCAGATATATGCGAATCGTGTCGTCGATAGAGATTAAATTATACACGATTGAATGAGTTTCGTGACGAAGATTATTGGGGATGTTATTAAATAATGTTTATGTAATATTTCGAAATGTTGATAACTGACGAATCGATCATGCGCATCATTATCGTTGTCTTTTTCGGTCATGAGAACCTTTGTGGATTCATCACTCAATATGCACTTGATAAACTCTTGGACCGAATTAACATATTGTTCAAAGACGACCCTTTGTTATTTCGAAGATTAATAACAGCAGCCTCGCGGGAACGCGCGCCATCATCGCTGTAATTAAACGGAACTGCGTCGCGCATCAACTGTGTCGGCTATGAAATGCGTGAAATAGGAGCTACGCTTGCCTGCAGTACTGCGATGCTCTCGCCCTTCTTGATGGTATCGCCAGTCCTTTTCTCACGACGCGCACCCCGGTCTAATAGAATTCATTGGATTATGCATCGGAGGGCACTTAAATATAAGTGGTTAAACGAATTACTGCGCGGTACCCTTGGCCCACTCGAGCCCTTCTCCCCCTTCTGTCCTTCACAATTCTGCACGAATATTATTATGCTAATCCATAAAGCTAAAACTTTTATGGCAGCTATGGTCGCGTAAACACTGCCAGCCGTTATTGCCCTCTGCGGTGTCAAGACTGCTGAAACTTTAATTAGATCACGAAATAGTATGCACACTTTATTCGACTTTTCGCAAGTGTACTCCCCTACCGCATCTTTAGGTATTATATCGCCGAATTGCATCGTCGGGTACACCGACAGAAAAAAATGGTTGCAGTTACCACAATCTCACTATAATTTATAGTCATTTTAGGAGCCAACCATATTTTTATAATTCTTCCAATTACGTAAGTTATGGTCATAGACATAATATTGGTCCGTGCAACTTACGATATGGTTGTCATAAACCAAAACGAGCTTTTAATTTGGTAAGGTGTACAATAAATATTGCAATAACAACCCAAGTAAAATTTTGAATAACTATATGCAATAGTAATAATCGTATAATTTATATTGGAAGTAATATTCTCCGCTTTTTATTACATATACATCGCGTTCACTGCACAGAAAGACCGGCTAAGGCAGAAATAACTAAAATAAAAATGTTGCCGTATAAATAGTAGGGGCATCTACATTGTTTTGTGTTGCAACATTCACTAAGTTTGCTGCACAAAACGCATATAGTTGTCTCCACTACTCCACTACGCACATCATACCAATGTGAGTTTACCAATGCAATTTAATTTAATGAAAAATAATTAATTTTTTCCTCCTCCATTGCAAATTAATTTCTGTTCAACATTTGAAACTGTTGCAAAATCTCAAACACCGTGTGTTTTGCCCGCGGACGTGTAATTATTCGGGAACGGGATGAAAGGAGGTCGGTGATTAGAAGCACGACACCGAGAGGTGCCTTCTTTTTACTACCAACTTTTCTGTCTTTGTCATCTCACTTGTCCTTTCTACCGAGGATGAATTTTGCAGTACGTTTAATAATTCAGGCGTTATGCTGTAACTTCGTCGCCTCTTATAATCCACGTTTTCAGCGATATATTCATTAATTATCTCGACATTCCACTGAAAGTCGTTATCAGTCGATAAGCGAATGGAGTTTAAATGCATTTTTGCCGCAGGAATTACTGTGCTTACCGCACAGTCATTTTGGTTTAACGACTTTACAGATCTGAACTCAATATACTATCAAATGTGCTATTACTTGCTTGTAAAATTGCATTAACGGTTCAAATTTAATGAGAGTGATCCGTTTTGCCTAAAAGTGCCGTTTTGCCTTCCTTTCCTCTACATTTATACGCGTACGGATGTTTTTATGGGCGATGGTACAACAAATAGTAATAGTTTGTGCAAATTATTGATCAGCCTACAGCTGTATAATTATTACTTCCAGCGCTCGTACAATTTTGCGCGTAGTGCGTTTCATAAATCCTGAGATCGCAAATGAACCAATTTTACGCGGAATTATATTCGCACGTTGTTCGACACGTCCGTAACATGAGAGCCCGTTTGCGAAATCCGTTCATGGTTTGGCCGATACCTTCATTAAACGGAAAAGCGAGAGCGCCGCGGAAGAAGGGAAATGACGATAATGTTCGCAATTGCATTCACCCGATTAATCCGGTACGCATGCCGTTTAAATTTATTGAACGCGCGACAAATTTTGGCGAATGGATTTACGCTTCGCGAGTAGAAGGATCGGAGAAAGAGAAACGGAAAGGAGAGAGGTTGGATGCGCCGCTAGCGGAGTGAGACGCGACGCGATGGAAAAGAAGCAATAAAAAAAAAGGAAAATAAAGAATACGCGTGGCGGCGGGATAGTGGGGCACGGTGTGACGAAGTCTGTCGCAATATCCTGCAACGAAAGCCAATAAATAAAGGACGGCTTGGCCGCGGAATTAAAACACATACATCACGATACCAGCGATGCGCGCTCGCACTTTCTAGTCTCGGCTAGCGCCTCGCCCATCTTTGTCTCTCTCTTTCCTTTTTTTTTATTCGATACTTACGCCCCGACGGGCCGATATCTACGTGAGGGTTGAAATTAATCCCGGCCCGGGTTCTGATTGCGATATAATTTCGCGATTGAGCCGCGGCCACGGCGATTTCCGGTCGTTACGATCGCTGAAAGGGCGCGAGCATATTAGCGAACTTGGTTTTATTCTGGCTTTAAACGCTGCCCGATAACTCACGGCTGTGTTCGAATGTCTCGACGCTCGCTCATCGCTTATACGTAAAACGAAAAGGTGACGGCCTGATCCGCGAGACGGATGATCCGTCATTCGATGTGCATTACGTATTGAGATTTAAGCGCTTCGATGAGATGCACCGAGCAGAGGTATGGAAATTAGTCGGTGCGCGATTGCGAATGCAAAAACGTTAAACGCTCGCCGGCACCGGTGATAAATTTATCGAGCGGAATTTAATTGGCGCGGTTTCGTTAAACATCACGAATATATTTTTCTTGCGGATCACTATTTACGTAGCATTTATTTCATGTCTCTCCGAGATATCGCGAGGGTTTTCCTTACGTATTTATATTTATGTCGTACTCGCATTTAATATATTAGGGCGAACGGGGGCAGACTTTTTGTTTAATTTTGATTGTCAAGTATTACGCGCGAGAAAAACTCATCGGAAGTTCTTTTAAGGCGGGAGGAAGAAGGTTGTTATATAAATAGAAAATTGCATCTCTAGAG